ATTTGCATTTCTCTAACGACTAGTGATCGCGAGCATTTTCTCATGTGCCTGTTAGCTGCTTTAATGTTTTCTTTGGTGAAGTGTCTGTTCATTTCCTTTGCTCATTTTTTAAATTGGATTATTTATCTTTTTGCTGTAGAGGTGTTGGATTTTCCTATAGATTTTAGAGATTATACCTTTGCCGGATTTGTAATAGCCAAAAATTTTTTTCCCAGTCTGTAGGTTCTCTTTTTACTCTTTTGGTGAAGTCTTTTGATAAGCATAAGTGCTTAATTTTTAGAAGATCCCAGTTATCTAGCTTATCTTCTGGAGTTCTGTGTGTGGTTAGTTATGGTTTGTATCCTGTTAATGCCATGTATTAGTCTCTAGCATTGATACTATTTTTTCTTCTATGAGCTTTATAGTTTTTGGGTTTATATTTAGGTCTTTGATCCATTGTAAATTAGTTTTTGTGTATGGTGTGAGATATGGGTCCTGTTTCATTTTTTTTGCAGATGGACATCCAATTTTGCCAGCACCATTTGTTAAAAAGACTGTCTTTTCCCCATTTGATAGACTTTGGACCGTTGTCGAAGATCAGGTGACTGTAGGTGGATGGATTTACATCTGGGTTCTCAATTCTGTTCCGTTGGTCAATGTATCTGCTGTTGTACCAGTACTAGGCTGTTTTGACTACCGTAGCTGTATAGTAGGTTCTGAGGTCAGGTAGTGTGAGTCTTCCTACTTTCTTCTTCTTCTTCAATAATGCTTTACTTACCGGGGGCCTCATCCCTTTCCACATAAAGTTAATGAATGTTTTTTCCATGTCTTTAAAGAATGTTTTTGGTATTTGGATCAGGATTGCATTGTATTTGTAGACTGCTTTGGGTAGAATTGTCATTTTCACAATGTTGCATCTGCCAACCCATGAGCATGGTATGTTTTTCCATTTGTGTAGATCTCTTTTGGTTTCTTGCAGTAGCGTTTTGTAGTTTTCTTTGTATAGGTCTTTTACATCCCTGGTTAGATGTATTCCTAAGTATTTTATTTTTTTAGGGGCTATTATAAATGGCATTGTTTTCCTGACTTCCTTTTCATTGTTCTCTTTGTGTATAGGAATCCAACTGATTTTTGTATGTTTATCTTGTATCCTGCTACTCTGCTGAATCTTTCTATTAGTTCCAGTAGTTTTCTCATGGAGTCTTTTAGGTTTTCTATGTACAGTATCATATCATCTGCAAATAGGGACAGTTTTACTTCTTCATTACTAATTTGGATCACTTTATTATTTTTTTCTTGCCTTATTGCTCTAACTAGGACTTCCAGCACAATGTTAAATAGGAGTAGTGATAAAGGACATCCTTGTCTTGTTCCTGTTCTCAAGGGGGATGTTTTCATCTTCTCTCCATTAAGAATTATGTTGGCTGCTGGTTTTGTAAAGATGCCCTTTATTGTGTTGAGGAATTTCCCTTCTGTACCTATTTTGTTGAGAGTTTTTATCAGGAATGGGTGTTGGATTTTGTTGAATGCCTTTTCTGTGTCTATTGAGATGATCATGTGATTCTTTTCTTTCCTTTTGTTTATGTGGTGGTGTACATTGATTTATTTTCTAATGTCGAACCATCCCTGCATTCCTGGTATGAATCCTACTTGGTCATGTTGTATTATTTGCTATGATTGCTGAATTCTATTGGCTAGAATTTTGTTAAGAATTTTTGCATCTATATTCATGAGAGATATTGGTCTGTAATTTTCCTTTTGTGGTGTCTTTGCCTGGTTTTCGTATCAGGGTTATGCTGGCTTCATAGAATGAATTTGGAAGTATCCCTTCCTTTTCTATGTTCTGAAATAATTTGAGTAGTACTGGAGTAAGCTCTTCTCTGAATGTTTGGTAGAATTCTCCAGTGAAACCACTTGGCCAGGGCTTTTTTTTTTTTGGTTGGGAGTTTTTTTTATTATCTTTTCAATCTCTTCTCTTGTTATGGGTCTGTTAGGATTTTAAACATCGATTTGTGATAGTTTGGGTAGGTAGTGTGTTTCTAGAAAGTTGTCCATTTCCTCTAGGTTTTCAAATTTGTTGGAGTATAGTTTTTCATAACACTCTGTTATGATTCTTTTTATTTCAGTTGAGTCTGTTGCAATGTCCTCCATTTCATTTCTTATTTGTGTTATTTGTATCCTATCCTGTTTTTCTTTTGTCACTTTGGCTAGCAGTTTTTCGTTATTGTTGATCCTTTCAAAGAATGTACTTTTGATTTTGTTGATTCTTCATCTTGTTTTTCTATTCTCTGTTTATTTGCTTATGCTGTATTATTTCCTTTTTTTTGGTTGCTATAGGCTTCTTTTCTATTATCTTTCTGTTTGAGTTGTGTAGCTAATGTTTTGATTTTGTTCCTTTCTTCTTTTTTGATGTGTGCATCTATTGCTATAAATTGATTTCTGAGCATTCCCTTTGCTGTGTCCCAAAGGTTTTGGTATGATGTGTTTTCATTCTCATTTGATTCTAGGAATTTTTTGATCCCATCTTTGATTTCTTCTATTACCCAGTGGTTTTAAAGCAGGGTGTTATTTAGTTTCCATGTAATTGGTTTTCTTTCCTTGCTCTTCCAGGTGTTAATTTCTACCTTGATGACGTTGTCGTCAGAGAAGATACTTTTGTATTATCCCAATGTTTTGGATTTTGTTGAGGGTTACTCTGTGGCCTAAGATGTGGTCTATTCTGGAGAACATTCCATGTGCATTGGAAAAGAATATGTACTGTTGGGTGGAGTGTTGTATATACGTCTATGAGGTCAAGTTGGCTGATTGTGGCTTTTAGCTCTTCTGTATCTTTGTTGAGTTTCTTTTTAGATGTTCTGTCCTTTACCAAGAGTGGTGTGTTGAAGTCTCCTACTATTATTGTGGAACTGTAAATTTCAGTTTTCAGTGCTGTTGAAGTTTGTTTTATGTATTTTGGAGCTCTATCATTGGGTGCATAGATATTTTTATGGTTATGTCTTCATGCTGGATTATCCCTTTAATCATTATAT